GAGGAACCGTTGCTGTCGTTCACCGACTATATGTCATATACTGGAGGACTGTTTGGTCTGTGGTTTGGCACTAATGGCAAAGACGTCATCATTTGGTTTACACAACGAATTAATATGTTTTGGCTGTGGTTTGCACACAAATATTTTCCTGACAACAGAGTTCATGTGATTCAACTAAATTCATAAACAAATTTGTTTTAAACTATTAGTACTTTAAAATTTTTATATTTTTAATTTCTTGATTATTAATCATTGCTAAATCAAAATCATTTATTATCTTAGATTTAATTTCCAATAAATTACATTATCTTAGATATCAACATGACTTGTCAGTAAATTGTGCGAGTATAATTGGTAATAACACAAACTACATATATGTATATGACAGATGTGTTCAGGTGGGTAAGAGTGAGCATTATTACAGTACTTGTAATCATTTTATTAAAAACTAAACACAAATATCATAACACATGTGTGAGTAGGGATTATTAATTACTAATAATGCAAGGGATTATCAAAATTGTACAATAATATAACATTAATTAGGATTGACTCTAAAATTTTTAACTGTAAAAAACAATAAATAATGTCTGGCCACGTCTGGTATATGACCATATCGACCATTTGAATTGATCAAATTGTGCGAGTATCATAAACTAGTCCAGTTGATCCAATGATAATCAATTTGTAACATACACATTTTTCACATGAAATGCATTTATGGTAAAGACAAATATGTTTAATTTTTTATTGCAATTAACCTGATCATATACATCATAAATAAATATATTTTGAGCTAATAATTTTTTATTGTTTCAACTTTGTCATAATAAAGTTTGACATTCTAATTATAGTAGATACATTATAATTTATTATTTATATAACCATAAACATCATAATAAATTTATTATGGCCCGGGTGGCTATTCCTATAATTTTCTATATGATATAAGGAATGTTTTAAACATAACTTTATATTATTAACGAGGAACCTCCTAGGTACTATCAATTGTAAGTATATAAATTATAAAACGTAGCATTTTAATTATAATGGAATAGGACATTTTTGAAATACTGATAAGTCTGATTTTAGAAACTGAAGTTTTTGAGTGACCACCATATCTGATTATTATTTTAAAATATATTAATGCATCCACTTCAAATAAATTTTATTTTGAGTTTCTAAAATCACTAAATAATAATATTTTATATTATATATTACAATTAAATTGCTGAGTTGATAAATGTATTTGCTTTCGTATTAGATACTATATAAAATAAATATAATTTTAAATTAGTTTAATTCATTATACCTTATAGTGAGCTTGTAAAACATTATATTATTTTTAAACCACTATCAAAATGTCTTTGAAAATAAAAATATTATTTGTCTGTTGTTTTATTGGAGGTTTTGGATTATTTATTGTCTCATAGAATTTACTAAAAATTAATTAATGAAACTTAATGAACATATTTTTATATTTTTAACAGGATCATATGAGCAAATTTGGTTTACTGTTAAAACTATAACCACTTACTAACATATCCACTGAAGTTAACCAGAAATACGTCAAATCACAAGGTATAATTATTTTACTTAGAATTTAATCTTAATAAATTATTTAAATTTTACCTATGACCTTCTCAATTCCATATGGATAACTTTTTATGGAAATGTATTAAAAGGAACTCTAAGAATTGTGATTGATTGTAGCTAGGTTATATAGATGAATGCTTATTCATTGAATAAATGTTTGTTTGTTAGCTTCAAAATTATATAACAATACAGTATAGTCCTGTACATGCAATTTGTTATGCTATGCATTTCTTAGGTTATACATTTTAAATGCTTAAAACAAACATTTGTTTAGCCAATAAACAATCTTACATTCCACTTTAATCTATTTGCTTCCATATGTTATTTCCATTTAAAACCGAATCGGTAATATGTTAAAATCAATGACTTCACCTAGGTAATTCGACAATCAACGTAAACGTGTGTGGTGACTGGAAAAAGAAAAATGCTATAAGATACTTCCTATACGAAACAATTACAATACCGCTATAATGCAATGTAAACGCTATGGTGCAACCTTAATTAGTCCTAGCAATGAAAATCAACAGGAATTTATCATGGAAATTTTACGCCCATATAAAATGATCGCAAACAAAGTTTGGGCTGAACTTGATGTTCAGACATTTTATGCCAATTGGGATGAGACTGAAATTATCGATAATGATAAGAATAAAAATAACCAAGGTAATTCAGCCATTTACATTCCACTAACGTCCATAGATTATGGCAAATGGTATTCAGAGCGCCCCAATCGTAATGCACTGGTAGTCTGTGAGAAACGCCAAGAATGGACAACCGGATTATTAAGCGAGGCACTCGAAAACGTTACCCAGGTGGTCAATAAATTAAATGACCAGGTGGCTATGTTAAATACTGCCTTTCCATATGGATTCGTGTACATTCAGTTGCCCAACCAGTCTGAGCCCCGGGATCTGTGGCCACAAACTAACTGGTCGGATGTGACACAAAACAACTCGGAATTGATTTTGGGATCGAAACTAATGAATAGCATTCAACCCAAGGATGAGAATAAGGTTTCCCATAAAAATGTTAAGATTTGGAAACGAGTTTAATCTCAATCTACAGAATATTATAAGAATTTGTTTTATTATAATGTTTAAGAGAATTGTGAAATAAACATTTTCAAAAATAAATGTGCACTTTACTTATTTTGTCGTAAACATTATGCTCTAATACTTTTTATTTATGATAACTATGACTAACTTTTAATATTTATTTTATTATTATTATTAACAAACTTACTAGTTATATTATAAGTTAGTATTAATAAACTATCAAATAAATACTTAACTATAGATATGAATATCAGTAAGAATTTATCACAAGTTTAATTTGTAAATATTTATATAAGTCTATAATCTCGACTTATTTGACAAAAACATTTGGTGTCATTTTGCTAACAAATATTTGCTATTAAGAAACTGTATTTTAAATATGAAACTCGCAATTACTTTATTCATAACATTGACACTAATTTGGGGTAAAATACTGTTTTAAAGGTTCATTAAAATTTTAAAATTATTTTATTTTAGGCTCACTATCAGCCCCGCGACGTAAAAACTGGAGGCGTTGGACTACCACACCCGACCCGTTAGACCTAATAATTTTGGACTCAGACCCTGATTATAAACCCGAATATGACTGCGAAAACAAGGACCCTGATGAATCTATAAACATTACCACTCAATCTAATCGTAAACTACCTAAGTAAATTACATAATCACAAATCTAATTTAATTATATTTAATTACCTAGCTAACTCAGCCATTGACCTAAACATATGTGGTGATTGGATAGCCTACCGCAAACAAAAATGTATCAAGATACTACCAATTCGGGGCACATATAACGAGGCTATAGTTAATTGTCAACAGGATAACGCAAACGTGATCACCATAAATGACCAGGATGAACAGGAATTTATGATGGACATCCTACAAGAGTTTAACACTACCGCTGACAGAGCCTGGGCTAACCACCCCACCGACTCGGCCTACGCTAACTGGGAAGACATCCCTGACACTAAATATTACAGAAACCGCAACGAAATCCCTATCCATATATCCCTTTCGGGCATAAATTACGGCAAATGGTATGACGAGAGGCTGAGCCGTAAGGCACTGATAGGCTGCGAGAAACGCCAGGAGTGGACAGTAGGCCTATTGAGCGCAGCCCTTGAAAGTGTAGTAAAAGTGGTGAATCAGCTAAATGAGCAAGTTAAAATGGGGCATACCCGAGTGATTCCCGAGGGGTTTGTTTACATTCAGCTGAATAATCAGTCGGAGCCCCGGGATCTGTGGCCGTGGGCTAACTGGACTGACGTGACACCGGATATGTCGGAGCTGTTGATGGATTCAAATCAGTTGAATGGCATTCAAGTGAAGGACGAGAACAGGGCTGAGAGTCAGGCCGTGAAGGTGTGGAAAAGGATGTGATTTTGTGTTACAAATAAAATTAAATAAACTAGTAACTTTTATTAATAATTAGTTTGCTAGATAAAGTATAAAGTTTTAATTATGAATATTGTTTTTAATTTTTAATTTGAATTTAAACAATGAATTATAAATTGGTTGATAAAAATTGAATAGAAATATTAAACAAATGAAAATTATGTTCTGGTAATTATAAATTATTCTACATTTACAGTATATTATGAATAAATTGTCAGACCTAGCTGTTATAATAGAAATTTTATTTGTTTATCAGTATATTTAAATTATGAATTTTGATTACTAATTACAAAAATAACATTAATAACATACAGCATTAACTATATAATACAATATTAGTATAACAATATAGTAATTTTTATAATTTATGGTATTGAATTAGTTTCAGGGTGAATGTTTGAATGAATGAAAAATTTATTAATCATAACAAGTGTTGATTAATACATAAAATCTTGAGTACATTATAAAAATGATACAATAGTTAGTAATGTATAAAACAATTTCGATTCCCGTTTTTAGATTTATTCAAAACAAATAACTTTTTATAATTAGAGGGAATTCCGAATTATGAATTGTTTTATATACTTATTATTTATTATTATTATTATTATTATTATTATTATTATTTTATTTAGCATTAAGCAGTGAAATACATCGTACTGTAGTCATACAGTAATACATAATTATTTGTAATAATCATTTAAAGATTTAACAAGTCGGTTATAATTGTTTCTAATAAATAATCGCGTGGTAGGTATGTTGACGATTTGATTTACAACTGTATTACGATTTTCAAATTTGTTAATATAAATATTTTGAATAAATGACACAAATTTTAATTTCATGATTAGTTTTCCCGTGTCTTCTGTGAACGCTATGATAGAGACCCCAAACCATAGGCTTATAATACTAGCCGTGAGTGTGAAGTACTCCTCGAAAGACATTTTCAGTGATGTCTCGTATACAGTGGTCGGCTCTATAGGTATGTCTATTTGAATGCCATAATGGCCTACCATTCCAACCATTCCGATGTCACTACTGGTCTCTATTGAATAAAAATATTGTGTACATGCTACTTTACCTTTGCACTCATATTTGCACTGCTTCATTATACTATCACGGTTTTTAAGTTTACCATGATAATAATTATTTGAATTATTTGCTAGTAAATAAAATAGCATAGTTTGATCCATTATGCTCATATTAAATTTTAAATATGCTTCGTAAAAGCATTTCAATTTACATTGGTCAATAGTCACGATGTTATCAGGTAAACAATTGCTTAAATGTTTGTGCTTGACAATAGTTTGGTGATATTTAACGTGGTACAATGTATTATTTTTGATAAAAGTATATAAATAACTTTTTCGAAATCTATAATAAATGCGTTCATCATTTGGATGTATGTGCAGCAATATATAATCTGGTCCAAGTGGTTTATCATCAACTCTTAATTTAAAGCTAATTGACATAGCACTTCCAAGTTTAGCATGCTTAATTTGCTCAGAAATAGAAACCACATTAAAGCAATATGCACGTTCGTCAATAGCCTCGTTGAAATATTTACACTTGTACGTGGTAAAACCAGAGTATATCTTACAATCAAAGTATCTATGAATTTTGTAATCTTTAACAAATGAATCGTATTGCTGTCCAATTGACAAAACATTAATTTTATCAAGGTTAATTTTATGCCTGAATTTGTCATATGAATAGTTTGTTAACATTTCCCGTTTCATAAATATGCTTTTTTGGGCGCATATAGTAATAGCCGGTAGTATTGTCTGTCCACTATTGGACTCGTATATTACGTTAGTGGTGGCCAGGTATGAAAAGTATAGGTAACTTATAGAAAAGCCAAACCATAGGCTTATAACACTAGCCGTGAGTGTGAAGTACTCCTCGAAAGACATTTTCAGTGATGTCTCGTATACAGTGGTCGGCTCTATAGGTATGTCTATTTGAATGCCATAATAGCCTACCATTCCGATGTCACTACTGGTCTCTATTGAATAAAAATATTGTGTACATGCTACTTTACCTTTGCACTCATATTTGCACTGCTTCATTATACTATCATGGTTTTTAAGTTTACCATGATAATAATTATTTGAATTATTTGCTAGTAAATAAAATAGCATAGTTTGATCCATCATGCTTATATTAAGTTTTAAATATTCATCGTAAAAGCATTTCAATTCACATTGATCAATAGTCACAATGTTATCGGTTAAACAATTGCTTAAATGTTTGTGCTTGACAATAGTTTGCTGATATTTAACGTGGTACAATGTATTATTTTTGATATGTGTATATAAAAAGCCTTTTCGAAATCTATAATAAATACGTTCATCATTTGGATGTATGTGCAGCAATATATACTCTGGACCAAGTGGTTTATCATCAACTCTTAATTTAAACCTAATTGACATAGCACTTCCAAGTTTAGCATGCTTAATTTGCTTATAAATAGAAACTACATTAAAGCAATATGCACGTTCGTCAATAGCCTCGTTGAAATATTCACAATTGTACGCGGTAAAACCAGAGTATATCTTACAATCAAAATATCTATGAATTCTGTAATCTTTAACAAACGAATCGTATTGTTGTCCAATTGGCAATACATTAATTTTAGCAAGGTTAATTTTATGTCTGAATTTGTCATATGAATAGTTTGTTAACATTTCCCGTTTCATAAATATGCTTTTTTGGGCGCATATAGTAATAGCCGGTAGTATTGTCTGTCCACTATTGGACTCGTATATTACGTTAGTGGTGGCCAGGTATGAAAAGTATAGGTAACTTATTCTATACGATTGATACATACATCCCATTATACATAATAAGTAACATACAATTTTAAATGAATTTTTATTTGTAATTTTCATTTTAACAAAAATTATATAAATGAACTTACGGTAGTATATAAAATATTTTATATTAACATTGTTAATAAACTCTCTAAACAAGATAATTAAATATTTCAAAATATGTTTTAATAGCTTTATTGGAAAAATAATTTAGTTTAATGCTGACGATTTAATTACATAAATGCACTTGATAATAGATTAATAAAATATTTTTAAACGACAATAACTTAATATAATTTGAAAATAATTATGCTAGCATTCAACATTAGTTTATTAAAATCATTAAAAATAATTATTTTACCAATAAATATAAATTCTTATTATGAAATAGTTGTTTTCAAAAACAATCTATTATCAAAGTATAATTAATAAATATGTGAAAAAGATAATTTATATGTACAGCGCATTAATTATGATGAATATGTTATGGAAAATGTGACAAAACTGTTGAATAGTCAGCAAAACACTATCGATAAACAACAGGAAATACAGGAAAATCTTATCGATAATGTAAATACCGTTCCCATATGCTTCATATATATACAGCTGCCCAACCACTCAGAGCCCATACACCTGTGCCCAGTGGCCAACTGGTCGGACGCTACTATAGAATCTAATTTACTATTTAAAGTAATAAGTGTTTGCTAAAAATTAGCATGTAATAATTTTAGTAATCAGAGCAAAATAGAAATAAATATAAACTTTTTACTTTGGATAAATTGCATACTTTTCAAAGGTTCATTACAAAAATGATTATGCTACAAAGGACTTTACAACAAAATGTGCTGACTGCAAATAACTGTAAACTGATTGCATTTTAATTTAAATATAAAAATATATCATTTATAGTTGATATTATTTTTAAAAATATTAATAAATTGCTGATTTTTATTTTACTATCATTAGTTAATGTCTGTGTTTATTGAATAAAGTAAATATTTCTGAATTAAACCATGAATTTTAAAATTGAAATATTTGAAATATTATTTATTTTTACGCTGTATATTGGAGGTATGTGAATGCTCAAAATTTTTTTGTGCTAGGTAGAAATATTTTAAAATTATTACTTGATAAATCTGACCATGTACCATTAGATGACTATTTAGTAAAATATATTAAATTCATATCAAACAAAAGGCTCAGTAATCCAAAGTTTTAATGTTTTATATGAGTTATAATTAAGATGTTTGATTTATGTTTTTATAAAAATTATAATCATAATTAACAAAAATTTTTATTTTACCAGGTTCACTTACTGTTGACCTTAGCAATTTATGGGGTTCGACTACAACTACTCTTAAGACAACTACAATTGGATATGAAATGATACCAACAATTAACCTATCGGTTGAAGCCAACAATAAATATATACAATCAAATGGTAATAAAATGCACCATGAACATTTTTAACACTGCTTTTTTATTATATAAAATAAAATATAGATAATTCAATTATCAATCTAAACGTGTGTGGTGATTGGATCACCTACCATAAAGAAAAATGCTACAAGGTGTTGCCAATGCGGGGAAATTACAAATACGCGGTGAATGAATGCAATCGTAAAGGAGGGAGGTTAATTACGCTTAATGATGAAAATGACCAAGAGTTCATCATGGAAATCCTGTACAACAGTGGCTAATAGAGTATGGGCTCAATATTATAAGCATTCACATTATAGCACTTGGGAAGAAACACCGGAAATAAATCACCAAGGAGCTAATAATCAAGTTGACTACATTCCCATTCATATAGCCTTAACCCAATAAACTACGGCAAATGGTACGACGAGCGCCGTAATCGTAAGGCACTGATAGCCTGCGAGAAATCCCAAGAGTGGACGGCCGTGTTATTAAGCAACGCGCTTGAAAATGTGACCCAGGTGGTCAATAAATTAAATCAGCAAGTTTCTGAGATGAACGATGCTATTCCCAAGGGATTCATATACATTCAATTGCCCAACCAATCCAAACCCACCGAATTGTGGTCATTGACTAACTGGTCGGATGTGACTCAAGAAAATTCGGAATTTGTTTGGAGATCGAAATCAGAAAATTTATTGGAGGAAATTGATAAGGGTGAAATATCCCATAGAAATGTTAAAATATGGAAACGGAATTAACTATCCATGAGCTATGTAACAAAATTATTATGCATTATACAGTATGTAATGTAATAATGAATTCTTGAAATAAAATTATAAAACTATTTCCGCGAAAAATTATATTAATTAAATAATTATTAAATGTTTTCGCAATAAATACTAATATACGATAACGTTAATGAACTACAGGATTTTGATAAACAATTTAGATAATATTATCATATTTATTTGTAAATATTTATATTACCCATTAATTTTGGCTTATATGACAAAAACACTTGGGTGTCATTTTGCTAACAAATATTGTTATTAATAATTGTAATTTAAAAATGAAATTAGAAATTACTTTATTTATAACCTTTGCGTTAATCTGCAGTAAAAAAATATTTAACTATAATATTAAAAATTTAATTATGATATTTAAAAAATAAATTATGTTAAATATAAATACATTTGGCTATTTTAATATTTTGATTTATTTTAGGCTCACTATCAGCCCCACGGCGATAAAGCTGGAGGTGTTGGACTACCACACCAGACCCGTTAGACTTAATAATCCTAGACTCAGACCCTGATTATAAACCCGAGTATGACTGCGATAATAAGGATCCAGATGAAACTATTAACGTCACAACCCTGTCTAACCGTAAAATCTTAATTTAATTATCTAAAAAATATTTAATTTTGTTTAATTACCTAGCTAACTCGGCAATTGACCTAAACATATGTGGTGATTGGACAGCCTACCGCAAACAAAAATGTATCAAGATACTACCAATTCGAGGCACATATAACGAGGCAATAGTTAATTGCCAACAGGATAACGCAAACGTGATCACCATTAATGACCAGGATGAACAGGAATTTATCATGGACATCCTACAAGAGTTTAACACTACCGCTGACAGAGCCTGGGCTAATCACCCCACCGACTCGGCCTACGCTAACTGGGAAGACATCCCTGACACTAAATATTACAGAAACCGCAACGAAATCCCTATCCATATATCCCTTTCGGCCATAAATTACGGCAAATGGTATGACGAGAGGCTGAGCCGTAAGGCACTGATAGGCTGCGAGAAACGTCAGGAGTGGACAGTAGGCCTATTGAGCGCAGCCCTTGAAAGTGTGGTTAAAGTGGTGAATCAGCTAAATGAGCAAGTTAAAATGGGGCATACCCGGGTGATTCCCGAGGGGTTTGTGTATATTCAGCTGAATAATCAGTCGGAGCCCCGGGATCTGTGGCCGTGGGCTAACTGGACGGATGTGACGCCGGATATGTCGGAGCTGTTGATGGATTCAAATCAGTTGAATGGCATTCAAGTGAAGGACGAGAATAGGGCTGAGAGTCAGGCCGTGAAGGTGTGGAAAAGGATGTGATTTTTGTGTTACAAATTAAAATTTATAAATTAGTAACTTAGCTTATAATTTGTTAGATAGTTTATACAGTATCTAGAATTTTAATTTTGATTAATATGTTTATTTTTTATTGTTAATATAAACATTGAATCATAAAATATTTTATATAAATGAAAGAAAATATTATACAAGCTATTGTGAAATTAATTTATATAAAATTAATGTAAACGCTGCTTGTCAATAATTTGATTTATTTTGGTATACTTGTATATTTTATTTGTAATTTACGGACTATTTTATATTTGCTTATGGGTTGACTTTATATTATAAAATTTATATGATTGTTACTTTATTACAAATTACTGTATTTCTACCGAAATTATAAATAATATCTCATAAGAGTTTGCTAACCATAAAATGTACTATTACTTTATTAATCTTACATTACATATAAATTAACTTATTAGACAAAATTAAGTAACATATTAAGTCAATATAATTATTGAGTTCCACGTATTACAAATTATTACAAATAGTAATACCTATAGCATTAATAAATGTCAATGCTACCTACTTTTGGGACTCAATAGTTAAAAACAAATGTTTTCTTAAAAACCACTTTCCTACCTTACAATTGTCAATACCGGGGCTACGGGACTGATCCCGATGCTCCCAGTATTGGCACTCTTATTAATCGCAATGTTAAACACTGGCTAGTGATGAACTACTGTCAATTTAAAAATCATTAATAAATAAACAAAAATTTTTAAATGATTAAACTGTAATTTTATTATTAATTTTATGTAATAATTTATGAACAAATATTTAATGTAATTAATTGGTTTGACAATGCCTGGTGGATTAAAAATTATATTTTTATATTTTAAAAAATAAAACTTAAATAGGCAATTATATTATAATTGCTAGTATTTGAACCTTGTCTAATTACAAATATTTAATTATTACTATTAATAATGGTGCTTTGCCTATTTGGTTTTTGTTTAATAAAAAATT